TTTTGTTATAGGTTTTTAAATATTTAATATTATTCAAATAATATCATTAAAAATTTTGCTCAATTAACCAATTTACATTTGTTTCAAAAATAAAAATATTCAAATTTAGTTAAAAACTTGTAACTAAAAATGAATTGACCGTCTTGTTTATGTTAATTCTTAATTAAATAATAGGTACMTATGTTATTTTTAATTAAACCCGATTTTGAATTAAATTATATTTTATTAAAATTATTTTTCTCGCARTCATAATGATTGATAAAAGATGAACCTGTTAATGAACCTGTCTTACAATAATTTACAACCCAAAAGAAAACTGAAAGAAATTTGTTATTCTTTAAGTGTAATTCATACCATTAAAACGTAGWATGTAGGTTATAAATATTGTGTTTACCTGCCAACATTAATTACTGGTATTTATCATACATATTTGTAGAAAAATAATTTTTCAGGCACGTGTCATGATGGTCATTACTTATTAAAGATTATTTACATTTTCGATCGCTGCAGTGCGTAGTATAAAACATTTCCACTGTAAATGAGTTATGTAACCGAGCTCAATGTGGACATAATATGATATTGTGATGTGTTGATGATAAGTTGACGATTTTATCATGCGTTAAATTACCACGAAGTTTTAGTATTGCGYGCAGTCCGTGTATTTATTTGATTTCTTAATGAGAATACTCCAGCGACTAGGTTCTGCAGTTTTTCAACGCGAGTAACTCGATTTCGCCAACCGACGACGTGGTTATTGTAACGAAATAGAATATTGTGTTATTACTTATTATAATATATTATATTACCTATGTGCATAGCATTCCATGCCATAAAGTATAAAACGATGCCAACCAATAAACCAACTCCCACGCACTTATATTAGGTATTATACATACAATACATAATAGTGTTGGAAGTAGAACTGTATGTCTGTCTCATATTATWCATCAACATAATAATATATGTATCATGTATGTATAAAATCATTATTAAAATAAGATGATAATAAAGATTTCGAAACAACGAATATTATACACTTTATATTATA